TCAAACGAGGAGCTCCTTGTTCGTTGAGCTGCTCCGTTGGTGGTTTCTACATTACGGCATTGGTCAACACATAACGTATGTACAAATGTGGGGGGGGGTAAAATTCTTACGTACTTGCTGCAATCCGCTCAGTGCACCTCGGAGCTCGGACCGTGACACGCTTACACTTTTGACAAAGTTCTAAAACTGGGAGCCGTTGTGGAATGCCTCTTCTTTTTCAATGGTGTTCATGAGAGGGTAAAATATAAAAGGAATCACCTCACCGGTTTCGCCTTCCTGCCTAACTGTTGGCTCATATCTTCACATAAACGTTGGGGTCTCGCCTTATCGGACAAAGCTACACGTACATATACAAAGGCATATGTGTGTAACCATACAAATTATACTAAATGGGTGTAAAACTGAAAAACTTAAAATATAACGTCGTCATCCTTCTGTGACGTGGCAAAATTGTTATGCCTTTTTGCACTTTCGTGATTATCCTCATCAGGTATGAGCTCTACATTTGCGTCCTTTAATTTATCAATTTTTTTTTCCTTTATTTTTTTCAGTCTGTAGAATTCCTCCCTTTCTATTTCGTCTAATTCTTTTATGATGTAATTGATTCCTCCATCCAACCGGGGTAGCACGATGTTATTTAGGGCGTTTACCCTCCTGTTGGTCATTTTGATTTCTTCGTCGAGCGAAAAAAAGGCCACCTGCGATAGGGGGAGGCGGACAACGTTTGACAAATGCACACGCGGAAAGAAAACGTAATGATGAGCGGCGGAATTTTCAGCGGTGGAATTTCCAACGGTGCAACCTCCACCAGCGGCGAACGCCAATTCAATGACCCAACGCACATATTACTCTTTCATTCTCCTCTCCTTTAACCCACCTGCATAGATGCCAATTTGATCAGCATATTTAGACACTGCAGATAATTTTCTCGCGTATTATTTATGACTTGTCCTCCTGAAGCAATTCCTAAGTTCCCCAAAACGTCAACGGTGGGATCTATGTGTACTTGGAAAATGGGAAGCTTCACGCCAGCCACATTATTGGTAGATAGGGAAAGGGTTACAACGGGTCTCTTTATTCCTTCGATAATTTGTCCCTTAAAATCGCCGGCGGCCCACACTGCCTTGGCTAATGAGAAGGAGGCGTTCCTCATTTCTTCGCCTACTTTGGTTTTTGTCTAAAGGGACAATTTCACAGAGCGGGGGAGAAAAAAAAAAAAAAAAAAAAAAAAAAAAAATAATTAAAAAAAAAAAATAAAAAAAAAATAAATAACACATTCGCCTGATGGTCACTGTGTCGAGCAAAAATGGCCTCTTGTGAAAACACTTTTCTTTTCGTCATTTTTTTCACCTTCACAATGTCCTTCAGTACATCTCTGAAGTGAATGAAGAGCGCGTCACTCTTTTTTTTCAACAGGGAATAGCCTTGAAATGCGCTTTTTTTCTTCTGTTTCATCAACTGCAGGGTTCTACGGGGGGTGCAGGGCAGAGTGGCGAAATGAAGCGCGTTGAAACGGACTGGTGAGAAGTGTTCTTCTGAGGTCAGTCCCGTAACGAAAAATGGACACCCATCGCGCATGACGAAAATTAACCATCCACGCGCGTTTTTGCAAAAGCTGTGTCCTATTCGAACATTCGATAACAAATAACAACGCTGCGTCGGCGAGAACGGCGGCCAGACCTAACCGGTGAGCCACTGCTCCCCGTGTGCACTTTTTTTTTTTATCATTACATTCTGGAGGGAACAGGTGTAGACTCGTCTAGAGCCCCCATTCTGAAGAGACCTTCTAAATGCTCCCTTTTTTAAGCTTCAAATAAATAGTTCCCTGTGGCTGGGTTTCTGTTTTTTCCCACCTTTTTGTGTTAAAAATGAACAGCGGATGGTTAAAAAAAAGAAGAAAAAACAGAAGGGGGACAGAACTCACTTAAGGGATAAACGTTCGATGAGCATAACTGGATTGAAACAAAATTTATAAAAACGGAGATGCTCTCATGGGTGTGTCGACCCTGCCGGAAGTAACGTTCACAGGGTTAGTTGGAAGAATTCCCAAAAAGGATTGAAAAAAAAAAAAAAAAAAAAAAAAAATATTCCCTCACTTATCAGTGTGCCATAAATAAAACGCTGTAAAAAAGACTCACTCATTTTTATGCATAATGATAAAAATACAAACATACGAAGATGGCACATGCATAGTATCAATTCGCATATTTTCGCAATTACAAAAAAATGGAGGCACTTCCCATATGTCACCTGGGAAATGTACATATATATATTATATATGTACACAGTTCGTAGGATCATGTGCGAGTATACACGAATGTGCGTGCTGTGAATTTTATATACGACGAGGAAGCGGAAGTGAGAAGTGATAAAAACATAAAAAAAAATAAAAAAATGAAATAAAATAAAATGAAAAATAAAAATAAAAAAAAATGATTTCCCTATTTCACAAAAAAAATTATAATCTTATCGGCGTAGCCACAGACATCGCCGTGCTAAGCTCATACTTACGCGATTATTTAAAAGGGAGAAAAAAGGAACGCTTATGTGAAAAACGTGCATACGTGATGTAAAAACAGATACGTATTTGTAATTCCCTTGTGCAAGTGGGAGTGACACCAGTAGCAACGAAACGAAGAGGGGGTAATCAAAACTGGGAAGAAAATAGAGGAAAAAAGTACACTATAATAGGAGCACTTTTCCAAAAAAAAAAAACATTCATTCGCTATCATCCCAGTGGTTATACTCGGGTAAGCGCGTTCGTGTAGCTCCAATAGGAATGAGCATACGTACATAAATAATATGCCATATCCACGGGGTGGGGAAGAGTTTGCCGCGATTTATTGAAATTTACGTATTTTTGCTAATCCTCTGGGGCAGCAATTTTCGATATGTTAACCAACCATTCTGTTATTTGACAAAAATGTAGCTATTCGTCGCGCACGTATATTTGCCTCCATCCAATTAGCGAATCCGTCAAGGGACAAAAGATTTTTTTTTTTTTCATCACGCCCTCATAAATTTGTGAAAAAGAAAAAATATCAGATCGGTCAATGTTGCAGTGCGGAACGTATGCGCATGTATAGAATATGCTTAACGGGAGCAGGCACGTTTACGATTGGAAAACCTTGTGGTGCTAATGATGCGCACATATAAACATATATGTGCAAAATCCTAGGCGCCGCTCCCCCAGTAGTAGCAAGACCATGCTCGCTTACAACTCTGACGTTCACCTCTCCGCGCACCGGTTTCTTAAGTGCAAAAAAAATTGTGACGCATGGCGGAATGAAGAGAAAAAAGAGCCATCTTGACAGTTAAATTGATAAGTAAATTATGTGTAAATATGTAATTGTACGCGTAGGACATGTCGTTGCTGCCCCAGTTATATATGCAACTGCTCTATGCGAACATCACCCCCCCCCCAGTCTCTTCACACTTGTGCATACCAAAATGGAAGGCTCTATGCCAGTGACGCAAAAACGCACCTTTTTTTTGCGTTTGGGCAAATGACGCAGCGTTTCCTTCGTTCGCAGCTTCGCCAAACAGGGAAAGATCTCTTCCAATTGGCCGTGATCATAGCGCAGGGTCGTCATTTAAAGGTGTAGTGGTGCCACGGATGGGCGAACCCAAGTTAAGAGGCAACATTGACATATTCAACGTTGCGCTTGCCATTTTAGGAAAACTCCTTAAAAATCTGAGCCAAAACTGAAGGGAATTAATTTAACTTAATCTGATATAATATGATGTTTTAATTTTTAGCGCCTTTTTTTTTCCCGCCCATGGGAAGGATTGCTGCCCTGTAAGTGTGTCCAATGCGGCGAGACTGAGTAGAGGAAGTTGCATCCTCGCATTATGGCTAGCTAAATAGCGGCACATGAACAAA